CGAAAGCAGTACCCAATCACAGCACACTTACCATATCTGTTAAGCATTGGTGAGACGCTATTAGCCAATCACAAACGTTCTTGTAAACTCGGTAACTAATGTAAACAATGTCGCGAGGAAAGTGAAAATGTGTAGCAATTTGGACGAAAGTTCTCAGGTTTTAGTGGAATATTTTAATATGATATAAGTATACCAGCTGTCTCTTATACACATCTAGATGTGTATAAGAGACAGTATATATATAGCTTTTATATATTTATTTATTTATATTTTATTATTATATTTATTTATATTTTTTCCAGTATTTATTTATTTTTTGTGACTTAACGGGCTAGCAGACCGGCCTCAAAGGCACCAACAGTGTTAGCAGTCACCAAATTTTCCGGCAGGAGGTTCTAGTCCCTGACTGTGCGGGGTAGAAAGGACATCTTGCGGTAGCTGTTTCTGTGATGTGTTTCAACATAACTAAGATTGTGCATGCGTCTTGTTTTTCTTAGTGTGCCATGTAATGATGGGGAAAATGCTGTGTTTATAGTTATAAGGCCATGGTGGAACTTATAAAAATAATTTAAGACTTTGTTTCTCTCTTCTTGACTCAAGTGTGGGCCACTTGAGTGTCTCTAGCATGTTACCAACACTAGTTGTTGTTCTATACCTGCTTGCTCATCACCAAGCTTGCAACCTTTCTCTGAAGTTTTTCCAGCAGGAACTTGTCCTTCTGAGTATGAGGGTCCCACACACACTGCATGCGTATTCTAGCCTTGGTCTAACCAAAGTTGTGGATGCAGTCTCTTTTGCCTTTTGGCTCCCAATGCGAAGATTACGACTCAGAAAACCTAAGGTCTGGTTTGCTTTATTTTCACTTTTGAAGGGTTTGTTTTCCATTTTACACTGCTAGTAATTGTTGTACAGGTTGAAATTACAAAGACAATAAACTAAGATCCTGAACTCTGACCTGCAATGCCAGGCATGTTTATACCTTGTGTCTATCGGAAAGTTATTGTTAGCCAAAGTTAATTTTTCAATCAGCTTGGAAATTGGTAAATATTTCACTGTTTTAAAAACCTTTACCTGTAAATGCATAAGGAATATTTCTGGATCATATGTATGTAATTGGATTTTGTGTTCAACGAGTGAAACATATGATTAAAATCGGAGAAAAGTTTACCCATCTTCTAAAAATTCATTGGAAAGTGCGGAAGCAGTAAACAGGATGGTAGACCATGCCGAACACGTTCGGCAGCTAGCTCACTGGACTAAGGATGAAATCAATGATCTCCTCGAAAATAACGAATGTCCAGGTGAGTTTTGTTGATTATACATCGAATAACTACTTTCATTATTTAATAATACGGTAGTTAATTAATAGATTTAGGCATTTTTGATAGAAAATTAAAGCTGTATAGTTGGTTCGCTCATTTTAAGGGAGTAATGATACTAGATTAAACAGCGCGATACATTGCAGTCCCTATGGAGGGGTTTGCTGCTTGGTATACACACTGTGCATGCGCAATAGTGTTTGTACAGTTTTATTTTATTAACTCACCCCCTGTTAATTTTCAGTAACAAATATATATTGTTAGTTTGTATATCTAAATTTTGATTTAATGTATCATATGCTTTACAGTAAATTTGTCTTATTAGGAATGTTTTATTTTTTTTTCTTTCAGGTCATTGGTTTAATAATCCGGTGCCAACTTATGCTCTTTTAGAAGAGATACGCTCTGCCATTGATGAATCACAGAGTATGTATTATCGGAAAGCTTTTCCTTTAGTTTTAAATTTTCTTGGGCTAAAACAACCAACACATTTGGTAGGTTTAATCTCAAAGATCAAGCGCCATGTTTAAAAAGCTGTGAAAACAGGAAATTACAATATCGTTAGCAAAAAGATTAAACATATTTGTTTGGTGCCAAGTGGTAAAAAACTAATAACATATATTGGTAAGGTTTTACGTATAATTAATTCAAGGATATTGAAGAACTGATGGAAGATGAATACCAGTCTTATTATGACAAGGGATATACATTTTATACTATTGTATATGATCCCCCGTATAACCACTTTAAAATTTTGTGCATCTGATATACTTTAATTTTTGTTTTGAGTGCTATACCTACTATAAATGATTTGAATTTATCTTTCTTTCAACTATACATCAGACTCAAAATATCGTTAAGAGTATTTACATAAAAATGTAAATATAAACTTGAATAACAAAATTGCCATCAGGAATACATCAAATTGAAGAATAGGCCTATTGAAAAGCCTTCAATTGCTTAAACTTTCACTAATGTGAAAGATCATTCCATTTCTTACCTAATGTGGATACATTTCGTTTGAGTTCGACCACACACGATATCAGTTTGTTTTCAGGTGTATTAATGCGCAAAATGAAAAAAAATTATTAGATTTTTAGATGAATATTTATAAAAATAACGAAGACCCAACAGTAGTAACAAACAGGATACTAGCAAAAAATCTCTATTTTTTTAAGAAGCATTCTAAGAGAGTTGTTATATGCCATATTTAGGATAAGTATATATTTAGGGGATTCTGATCAGATAATTGATAACTGTTGCCGGCACCAGGATGACTTGTGCTGGCAGCAGTTAAGAAGTGCATCAACATTGTATTTGTCACTGAAACTGCTCATTTAGGTATATCTCAGTACTTTAAATATGAAATTAATGGAAATCATGTAAAGTCTTTATTCGATGTTAAATTATAAAACATGAAATGCTTGGTACTTGATAGAAGCACGCCCTGTTTCTATTTTAATTGTACACAAATTTACCAATTATAATTAAGATTTACTGTAAGTTCAGTAACACCCATCCTGTATTATTTTGCATTGATCCTTAAATCTAGCAGTACAGTATTTACAATAATGTAGAAAAAAAGTGATTAAATTCTGTTGCATGTTCCTCAAGATATTTTATCATGGTGACTCTGGTTTGCGTGCCAGTTATATTTTACCTGTTGGGCCATGTGGCCGTGTATTCAATTTTTGAATAAAGTGTGCCTAAATACAATACAATAAATACAATAATGTAGTAAAATGTCTGTAAATTAAGGTTGAAGGTTATACATTTGTACCGCGCATGCAAAATACTAGGGTCGCTATGTGAAAAAAAGTAAACAGATGTAACTGGAAAATAAGGAAAGAGGCCAGCACCTAAACCCCAGTATGGGGATATGCCCTCGTCACTAAGCAGGTATCTGTCAAAATGTACCCTGACCAGCACCAGTTGAGTATTGCCATCCTAGCACTCGGGCGCCTTTAATTCTGATAGAACTAGAAGAAAGCTAGCTGGCAAGGAATTGAAAAAGGAATAAAAGAAAACGAAACAAGTGAGTTTATAAATTATATATTTTAGGCGCAGCAACCATTAATGTACGCTCCCCATATGACTTTTTAACCGCTATACCATCTTCACACTGAACTAATTCGAAGAACGTTCCTGTCCGTTCTGATAATTTCATGGAACGGGATGAGGGCGGGTTCAAACGTGCAATTTTTGCTCTTACTACGACTCAACATAGTTCGAAGTAAGCCCATTACGATTGCAGACGGTTTGTACAACGTTCGCACAACGTTTAAAATAGACCGTGTGTTGAGGCTCCAAAATCGGCTTAGTTTACGAATTCTGTGACCCACCGATCCGCGCTACTTGGCATTCGCACAAAAATGTCAATACTATTTTATTGAAACATAATATAATTGTCGGCAATCGTAAATTTGGGGAAACTGTAACCAAAAATGAGAATTTATCTTCGCTAGATGTGTATAAGAGACAGAATCACAGCACACTTACCATATCTGTTAAGCATTGGTGAGACGCTATTAGCCAATCACAAACGTTCTTGTAAACTCGGTAACTAATGTAAACAATGTCGCGAGGAAAGTGAAAATGTGTAGCAATTTGGACGAAAGTTCTCAGGTTTTAGTGGAATATTTTAATATGATATAAGTATACCAGCCTTTAAATAAAATACATTGGTAATAGTTGTAAGATTTTAGAGGTAGTAAATTGCATTTCCCGTCTTCTGTCGACTGTCATACCGTAGTTTTTTAAGCCAAAGTCGACCGTGCTGTGCTGAATATGTATTGTATTACTTATCTAGGCCTACATATGCATAGTAGGAATGGCAAGAAGTAATGTTCATCGACTTTGAATGAGACAGGAAATTCCTGTAAATATATAATATGTTTTGATTCTATTTAATCGCTTTTTTTTTTGTTTTTTTTTTTTGTTTTTTTTTTTCTATAAGGAATTTACTTCAAGTCTCGATCGGCCCATGTTTGTTTTTTTTTTCTATAATTAAAAAAATGTACATTATAACAGAAAAGAGGCTGAATTACTTAAAAAAATAAGGACACATTGAGGCCGATGTAAAATTTCAAATGTTTTTATTTGCATGCAATGTAAATAAATAACATTAATCAGTATTTCTTGTCATGCCTGTTGATTTTTGTTTAACTGCTTGAAGATCTTGATAATATGGACTAAATTAATGAATAAAAGTAGAGCAATTGATGATTCCAATAAGGTGAAACAAATAAATTTTTAATATACCTCAGTTCAGCCAGTTGCAACCCATCAGCACTTCCATTATCTCTCTGATCACTCACTGGGTATATACATTTAACTACACAACAGTAAACACAAGGTTGAAAGAAGTTTATGACAAAAATCTGAACTTTTATATGAATATTATTGAAACACTGTAGCACATCATATACCTACACAGAACTGCTTTAAACATAGCTGAATCAA